TGGAATATAAAGTCTATAACACCTAATAATGTATAAGTAATTTATTATAACCTTTATTTCATAGATGCATAAGGTGTATTAAGCACCTTCCAGTTAAACTGATTGAATGAGTATGGAGATGATTGCTTTTTTTTAATAAAAGTTGTATATTGGTTATAAAAGTTTTAATATGCGCTATACACATTATTCTAGATAAACAGTTTAATAAGCCCATTTCTTTCAGTGTATGTATACAATACAATTAAGCTATCGTTTAAAAAAAATGCCTAATACAATATTCTCATCTTTGTCAATATAATATTCTTATCTTTGTTATACTTTGTAGTTGCTGCTCAAACTGATACAATTTCAATTTGATAAGAATTTAGAAAAAAATTTACAATTAAATTTGAGATAAACAGATGTGTAATTTTGAAATACTAAGTACCATTTTTGTAAGAAATTTAATTTATTCAATTGCAGACGATGTCTTATCTAGATTGCAAAAATCTTTTAAGGTATTGAAACATTTACCTGTGTCCGCAGTACTAACTTTAACAAACTTTTCGCTGTATAAAGGAGAGACTTAATAATTTATATCAAATACTTGTGGTCTAGTTTCCGTAATGTCCCTTGGAATTACTTTATCATAAATAATTGAAATTACTTAAAATTTTGGTAAGAACTTCTTCAAACACTATTTCAGTAACTTCGAACTTTTATTAAATGTATCATGAAATCTCGGTTCAACTTTGCATAATCTGTGTACAACTGGGCACAAGGTGTGTAAGTTCTAAGATGTTGTGTAAGAATTTTAAAACCTACCAAATTTATTAACGATTGTAATACGAAACCTATCCAGAAGAAATAATGTTGAGAAATCATTGAGGAATTCAATATTTGTTTTATTAGTAGGTCACTTCCTTAATGCCAGTCACATGTTTAGACAGCTCTTTTTTATGTAGTGGGCCCAGTTTCCTTCAGAATTTTAATTTTAAACAGAAATCTTGTCTTCACGTTATAAATATTCATTTTTTCGAACTACGGGTAAATATGTTAATAAATTAATTGTTATTTCGTAATAGATTTTAAAAGTTATTGACGTGACTACAACGGTATTATAAATTCCTATGTTTTATTAAAAATCAATACGTTATTCTTTTGACCCATATTGTATTTAATGTTATTGTATGCCTAAGTTTTAAACACAATAGACAAATTTTCTAGATGATTCAAAACTATCCGGACTCTTGAGAACCAAAATTATTAGAATTGTGACATTTGCAGCGAACTGCTATTTTTAGTAGTGAACTAATAAATTCAAAATCTAATCATTTTGCTCTTTGCGTCTTTGCCTTATACCTTAATCTCAAATAATTTGTTTGCGTACCACAAAAAAAAAACTAAAATAATTTTCTCTGGTAGAAATGGAATCCTATCATATCCAGTTTGACTTTCAAAATACAAATATGATTGTTTGTATATATTTGACAGGAATTTGCGGATATTTCTGTTTACTCCAAATAGTAAATAAATAAATAAATTTGTTTATCTAGAAACAAAAATAAATATACCTTCATATCTAAGGAATTTTTAGAATTATTTTTCAGAAAATAAATCAGCCGTATATTCTTCTTTCAGCTCTGAGAAAATAATTCCCAAAATTCCATCGACTTCTTCTGCACGAGAACTAGAAAATGATAATGCAGGAATACCCAGACGCATTTCGTAAAAGAAAAACATGGAATGAAAAAGGTACAAAATTTGAGGAAAATATTCAAGGCAATCTTAGAAAATAATAACTACGCATAGGTACGCCGAATACAGTAGTAATTTAGTTCCTGCTTGGGAGGAAGGACTATTTCGGACGGTTCAGGCTGGTTCCGAATCAAGTTCGAATAAAACCAAAACATCTGCGAAACTGCGAATCGACAAAGAAAACTCGAACATATATTTGAGACTGCGCATGATTTGAACAAACCTAAAGTATTACCTGACCACTTAGTTTTATTTATACAGGGTGTATTTTAAGTTAATGTCATAACTTGAAGAACATATATTTATGCCAGGCCAAAAAGTTTAATGAACGGCCTAATGTCACAGATTTCTGAGATATAGGGTATTGAAGCTTAAGGAGGTTTATCTGATTTTTAATTGACGAACAAATATTCATAAAAAAATTAATATAACCTTATTAATATAAAGAAAATCCTCAAAAAAATATGACTAGTTTGGGTACCTAAGAAACGAGATATTAATAAAATTTTTCACAATTTAGTACAGTCTTATTAGAATGCAGATTTTTTTGGTCTTTCCACTTAGAATGCGCAACAATTGACGAACAGTTTGCACAGCAACTTGTATAAATAGGAAACCGATATCTAAGGAACCGTATGACAACTTGTAGAAATCGATTAGGTACTTGTAAGATACATAATTTATAATAATTTTTCTTCAAACTGCTGTCGTTGACTAACTTATCCTCCATATGCGTGATAGCGGCAACGCCACGGTCTCGACGTAGCGTATTATTTGAAATTCGCAGGTGTCCAAACAAACAGAATGATCGAACGGGAGCGAGCGAACGCCGTGCCGAGCGCGCCAGCCAAGTGCAACGTTGCCAAATCTAAAGGTTTACTACTTTAGTTACTAGCTAATCTACAGAAACTTTCGTTAGACTTTAGGCGTACCTCCGTGCCCGATAAATCTCCTTAATAAGTATCTATCACTTTTCTAATATCTCTGAAGATATTCTACGTAAATTAATAAAACTTAGGGGGTTAACTAAAATAGAAATTCAAAATCAGATTTGATTATTTAATTATTAATTTTAAATACTTTTTCTATTTTCATTTTTAACAGGAACCTTCAAAAAATCTTTTCTATATACAAACTGGAAACAGCCTTTCAATTGAAGTTTAACGACAGCACGAAGACAATCAAATAAAATCACTGTATTTCATTATCTTTTTATTGTTTTAATCCCTAGGGTTCCATCTGACGCGGGGCCAAGTATACATTTTTTGGCGTGATATTTTTTGCTTTTTCCATTTTAGGGAATACAAAAATAATTTAAGGGTTAAATTATTTTTTGTATACCCAATTTTTTCAGAAAGCGGTTAATGCGGCTTCAGTTAGTGGTAGAATCACATTGATTAAACAGTTTTTTTCACATTTTCCCCATTTAATAGTTAGTCACTCATAGCATTTAGCAATAAAGGAGATAGAAAATTCTGGAATATGTAGGAATTTTTTATTTGATTAAATGCACAGTGATTGAAATTCTATTTCTAATGAGAGCACTCTACCTGACAGCTACAAATTTAAGAATGATCACCAGAATTACTGGATCGCAATGCCTGTGACTTTTTTATGGAGATAATAGTAGATTCAAGGTATACTTCTACGTAACACAAGTTGAGTCTGATTTCGCATTACGGAAATTAATTGTTGAGAAATGCACACTAAAACTCAAAAAAATTTGGAAAAAAAAATACAAAGTAGACATATCTCTGTTAAAAAGTAGGAGGACATTTGGAATAGCTTTCGCATAAAGTCAATAGTTTATAAATAAAATAAAGCTTCCTCAATTAAAATTCGCTTTTATTCATTTGACAGATGATAGGCGGAATGCGCATTTCTTTTCAATTAAACAATTTATATATTTTGACGAAGGTAATTCAGTTATAATGACCATTTCATATTCTATATAGCAATAAATTAATATTCTGGTTCCAGCGCTTTTAAACGTATAGCTTCTACTATTTAAACACAGAGCCATTGACATTATGAACATAACTATCAATTCATTTTGTCGAGATTTTATGTTATAAATGTTATGCATAATAATGTAGTATTCCATAAATTATTTAAATAAAGTAGCTAATATATTGGCAATTCTGTCGATTCTTTTTATATTTACAAGTGGGCAGTGTCAACAACGGCCAAGAATACCGGCCAGAGCTGGGTAAAGCTATAAATGTTACAATATACTGGATTTAATTGTAACGAAGCGCCATTGCAACATCGCAGTCTGCTGACAAATCGTTTGCTAGAACTGATAGTACTCATTGCACCCATCGGTGTCACAAAACCTTAGCATCTCTAGATACATTTTTAAAAGATATTATTAAATGTTTACTTGTCATTTTATTTATTTATTTAAGAAGTCCTTGCCTTAAGCCCAATTACAAAGCAAGATGAGAAGAGAATACAAGAAAAAGCACAAATACATCTTACATAAGTTAACAAAACAAGAAAATAGCAATAAAAAAGTTGAATAACACAGATTATGATGAAAGAAAGGAAATGCCAGAGTTTTCAATGAATCAATGCTCTGGAAACGGCTGACAGAGTACTGCTAAAAATATCAAAATTTAAGTGACGGTTACATACATTACACATTAAATGTAACTGAGATTACATTTTAAAGCGTTCGCTTTCGGTGTAGGTAAATAAAAGAAGAATAAATGCCTTTGAATTGTTCTGGGTACATACAAATTTAATCTTGATAAAATATCAGACAATCAATAAGATTATACAATGTGATCAGCATAAAGTATTCTCTGCGATTTTTTAATGAAGGAAAGTTAAACCTCCTTAGCAAGTCATCATGTGGAAAACCCTGCTCGGGATAAAAAGCAACACTTTTATATGTCAAATATTTTAAAAACTTCCGCTGTATTCCCTCCAAGTTGTTAGCGTAGACACATTATAGCTCTGAGCCCAAACAACTGCCGCATATTCCAATTTAGATCTAACATATTATGTGTAAAGTATCTTAATTACATTACAATTTGAGAAATCACGTGTACATCGTACAATAAAACCAAATTATTTGAATGCCTCAGAAATAACAGTATTTATGTGATGAGAAAAAGATAGTTTTTCGTAGCGTGTATTGTTTGAATTCTTGCCTCTATTCTACCTATGTGGCTAAACCTAAATGCACATTAGGTGGATTTCACTAATTTCAATATCAGATGAGTGCTGTACTCAGTGCTCATCTGATACTGAACTGAGTGTTGATTCATTGTAATTTGAACAAGCAAGAGGAGGTTCCCAGTCGTTAACATTGTTTGTACAATTTTTAATATAGTCTTTTACAATTAATATAGCTGCACATGTTTTTATGTGCAAACGATTACGGAATTTACTTTTATTTAATGACAACTGAGAAAAGCCCCTTTCCGCCGCTGCTGATGAGTGGGGTAATGTTAATATTACTTGAACAACCTTTGACAAATTTGGAAACATTGGTTCGTTCAAGGTATTTTTTAATTTAAATACTGCACACCAAAATTCAGCAATGTCATTACTAAAATTTGTCAAGTCTTGTTCATTTAATATCTGCCATTCTGTATTAACATCTTCTATATTACATTGCACTTGTGGAAATAAATTTACAAATGTAGCTATTGACCGGATTTTCTGTGATTTTACAACAGTAGGAGCAAAATTTGATGCAAATATTAAATACTTATCACTGAAATTAAATCGATTTTTAATTTGGGTACTTAATTCAACATAAAAAGCTAAAACGTGCTTCAGAAAACTTTCAGCATCTTTTTCAGAAACTGACCCTTTCTCAGATTCAACCTGTAAGAAAGCTTCTGTTTTTGCTCCACAATATATGGATTTCAAATCTAAATAATTATGTGGATGGCTCACATTAATTAAGTGTAACGAAGTACTCTTTAATGTTTCACGTTTGATGTAGTTCTTCATTACAACATTGTAAAACAAAGTCATTCTTTCTAGCAGTATAGGAAACTTTGAAGTCTCTGACTGCATCTCTAAATTAACCTTTACTATGAGGTCTAAAACATATGAAAGAAAAAGGATATAGAGTTTATAAACTGGATTCCTTAGAGCATTAAGAATTGACCTGGCATTAGGGAGATTGTCTTCTAGTACAGCACGTTGAAAAAATAATATTAGAGAGTTCCAGTGATCCAATATCCTATCAGCCACCGCCTAAAAATAAAAAATTACTTAAAAAAATTTGAACATTGAATCAACAATGGGTATACCTTTATAGATAACCATCTTGTCTGGCTAGCATACAACATTTTGTGAGGTCTTTCTTCAGCAAAAACCTGACATTCTGCTAATTCAGACAACCTTTTACTACTATGTGCAAAGTAGGAGTATATATCCCTCACAAACTGCTCTATAACATCTGGTAATTTTTTTGTTGCGGAAGATGAGCATAAATGTAATGCGTGACACAAGCATACTTGAACATAGATGTTTGGAGCAACCTCCTTAAATTTTGCTTGCACTCCAGATACTCTACCCATCATCGTACTGGCGCCATCAGATGCAAATGCAATAATATTATAATATGGAATCTCATGCTCATGAAATAGTTTGATAATTGATGTAAATAATGCCTCTGATGTTCCATCTTCCACCTTTATTAAATCTAAAATTCTATCTTTTACACAACCATTTTTCCAGTATCGTACAATTAGAATTAATGATTTTTCAATGCTTATATCTGTCATTTCATCAATAATTACAGAAAAAACATTATTTTTTAAATCTTGAATTAGTTCCTTTTGAAAATGAGGGGCCAAAGTACCAACTACAAGTTGAGTTGCTTTTTTACGTTTTATTTGCACACTCTTGCATATTTCTGAATCCGGAAATATATTTTTTTGCAATGAAGGCAAATAATCTAGTAATAGGAACGGCAGATTATGAACGCACAAAAATGCAGCCATTTTTAATTCTGCCTTTTTTATGAGAAGCGATTTCACATCTTTCTTTTGTAAATACATTTCAACCAATGGAGTCATTTTTGCAACTCGAGCTCGTCTGGTATGTGTAGATTTACTTTCATGCCTTTTCAAATGAAACTTTCCCCCACTTATTTTTGTGAGACAAATTTTACAAAATGGATAATCCAGTGTATCGTCTAACCAGGAAAATTCCTTGATTACATCAGCAGGTTTGATTTTTGGGTTCCATGGTTTCTTACTTTTTGGGGCAAGGTTGCAATTATCTTGTTCCTCTTCCTGTTCTTGGGTATGGTCATCACTATAATTATCTTCACTCTCACTCTCACTATCCTCTAATACTACGTCAGTTTTATTGGTCACTGCTTCTGTAGTGGAAGTAACGGATAGGGATATATTATTTGTTTGCGGTTTTGTTTTTATTAGCCACCTAAATAAAGATAAAGATATCGATATTAGTCAATGATTAAAAAGTATAAATCCGCTTCTGCTTACTTATCCATTCTGATTTTATACCAAAATTTTAATTTCAACTACTTCCAAAGCTCTCAATACCGCCTTCTGCAACCACAATCCTCAACAATATCTACGATAACAAAGACCCATAACCCACCTCCTTACTAAACTGCGATTAAACCCTAACCTTCAACCACTTGTCACAAAAAAAAACGTACTTACCGTAACTCAGCGAATGAAAAATGCGTCCAAATATTATCTAATCTAAAATACAAACTACAAAGACATTTGGGACATTTCTATTACGTATTTACATAAATTCAAATTCCATTGACTATTTTGACATGATACATGACATGACAGATATTCTACGACAGTGCTGGCAACCTATCGGTATCAATTATTCTGTGGTTTTTAGTGACCGAACTTAAAGGTATGTATATACATCCAACAGTCCAATGCTGGCAACATGCCAATATTCTAAAATACTAACTAGAATTTATTAACATTTTAAAAATGAAGCAGCCAACCCCGCAAAGTACTGAAAATCGCTATCAATGTACTGATGTACTGCAAAAATAGTAATTGTACTGATTTCAGTACATTTGTACTGACAGGAACAACACTGGCTGCAACCGGACTGATGTGAGATGTGATTCCGTACGCCACAGCGCCGCACGGCCACGCACACAGAGATCGAAGCCGCACGAGGTTGACCGACGCACCTCCTATGTAGTGTTTTCCCGTGAAAGCACGGTATATCGGACTAACATTAGACGTTTTCCAAATATTAGGTATTGTTTGGATTTTAGGCATACTAAACAATTTTTACTTCAAACATTCAGTGTCTATTTGTTCCGATCATCAAATACAAATAAGAATTACTACTTGGTTCAATTGTGCTTATAAAATATAGTTTCTACATACTTGCCGGTTTACCTATTATAAATTATAACGAAAATATACAAACCGAAGGCCGTAAAAATTATAATATGCCTTTGGGTAAACAAAGTCAGGAATCTCAAGTATATAGAAATTGTTATTGAAGTTAATGTACCAAACCTCAGGAAATTGTTTAACGTAACGTATACACCATCATTAACTAATTGTTTATACTTTCAACACTCCAGCAATTCATTCCCAACATTGTTGGGTGGTACAGTAGAATATGTTTTATGCATTTATATTTTTATGTATGCCTTTATAAAATAAATAACGTTACGTGCGGGTGTAATTAAATACCTCAATGGTCAATAAACAGAGTTGTGCTAATTTTAAATATAGACCTCAGGATCAGTAATAAAATAATAAATTTTAGAAATGTGCATAAAATAAACTGTACGGTTCGTTAAACCGTTTGTATATACAAAAAATGTTTATAAGATTGTCTAACTTTAGAGCAGATATCATGACGGATAAAAATTATAACATGCCACATACTCACTTCACTAAAATTAGTCCACGCAGACAGCGAAATTGATGAAAATCTTTTTGTGTCTGCTTTTATTTATGAGTATTAGCTTCTGCATGTTTAGATTTGAAATTAAAATTAAAATAATCATTTTGAAAGTTATTTACAGAAGCAAACACTTTTTTTAATAATACAGTATGCATCGATCCAGTTGAGGAATAAATATGTATTCAGGAAATGATTAATTAATTCTAGAACAAAATTGTTTGTATGCAGAATACATCTACAAATGTTGATCTAACTGTTCTTCATAAATTAAAATCACATTTGGGCTTTACTTATTGAATGAAATCTACAGATAATAAAAATATCTTAAGTAAATCAAGATATATTTCATTTGTGTTGGTATTGACTTAAACTTTAAAAAAATTGCACACACTATTAAAAAAACTGTTCTTTGGAAATCCGGTTTTATTAATTTCGAAAAAAATAAAAAATAAAATACACCCTGTAAATGGTATTGTTACTTAACGAAGCTTTGACGATTTAGGTTCAAATAGGGGCTTACTAAGCGACCAGAGACATGCGAAACTGAGGTAGTAGCCACATTGGCTGTAAATATAAACAAGTAGGTATTCAGATGGTGAGGACTTTAATACACGTATATCTGGATAATTTTATATAAAATACATTTATATTCTGACAGAAAGAGAAATGCTCAGGACATCAACAAGAAAATAAAGTAATTCGGAGGACATTACCAGTTTTTTTTAAGAATTAAAGAAATATTCCCACTGTGTCCTTGATTGTACGAGAAAGTTATTCCACATTTAAACAATTATTGGACTAATTTCAATTATATACCCTTAAATCTAACTACATATTGTCGCCACGGTAGCGTACTGGGTGGAGAGTGCGGTGGCAAGCATTTCTAGGCCAGACTTCCTATTCTGGTCCGGGTTCGATCCCTGGCGCCGGCACTGGCAATGCGGATGGATAATGGGTGCTTGTCCGCGTTTTTTCAAGTGTAGCCCCATTTTGCACAGCCTTTGGCTTTGGATTTGAGGATTGTCTCATTTCTGTGGTGTTTTTTTAATATAGTAGTGCAAAAGTTTTCATAGTAGACTGGTGTCGATTAACAATTAGAATAGTTAAAGTGAAAATGAAAAATAAACTTCTGATGAACATTAGCATTAGCCCCTTTCATTATAGGTAATCCAAAAGCATAATAAAGTGATGATAATTAAATTGCATAAAAGATATGAAACGGAACATATACTGGATGGCTTTGGTTATAAATTGGCCTTCTTTGACATACAGAAGAAATTAATTGGATCATGTACAGTTTATTAAAAATCACGTTATGATGCGTCAAGGAGATCTCTATGAGGCAACGCGTACCTCGTATCACTGTGTCGTGTCGAAATACTGAAGGATGGTTTTGCTTGTGTGATGAATCTATATCAGGTGCTTTTAGCGTATAGTTTAACGATTGCTTAAAGGTGCGTTTCCTATAGCGCGTCTGACTCCTGCGGCTGCCGCACAGCATCTGACGCCTAGCCTAGTAGAGATGGGTAACTCAGTACTGCGTTGCGTTATTGCGCTGAAGCAATGGCTGCGCCACTGCACTGGTACCAAAATTATTATTGCGTTAACGCAATTGAGTTACACCGACACCGCGACACCGCACGGCGCACTTACACTTTTGACTCAAGCACGGAGTCATGCGCCGTTCCCCGACAGACAAAGCCGAACGTCAAAGATTGGCTATTTACAAAACCAAGAATTTGAGAAGAAAAGAACACAGTGTAATATGTATATCCGATCTACCAAAATAATGTAAAAACGTTATATTAGGATTAATACCTTTGAAAATAATATTATAGGACGACAAATAGCGTGACGTATGAAATAACATGACTACTATGATAAAATGGAATATATACTTGGGGGTTGGGATTGTCATCATATGTTTGTCACTGTCTCTGCGTGTTGTGTAAAATATAAAAGCGAGTACGAGGGGTGTAGACGATGCCTGCGTTATTTAAAATTTTTAATTGCAGTTATGTGAAAAATTATGCATTTTAATTTTTAACTTTTATTGAAAAACATAAACAAAATAATAATTCTTTTATACAAAAATAATTAACTAGAACCTTCTTTGGTTCAGAATAAAATTTAAAACACATAAAAACATAACAAAAAATATAGGCAATTCTCAAAATACTAACTATAAAAAAGATAACAAATATAAATTATGTAAAAATATAGTGTTCTTGTTATTTAAATCAGTATTTGTTATTTAAATTATAATTTAGGAATACTATTTGAGATATTTTTTCAGTTATATTTTTTCAAGATTATCCTGCGTCACAGCACTGAGCAGTGAGCTGAGCTGATGAAGCTGTGTAGCGAGTCACGCGTCGGGTGGTGTAGTGGCGAATGGTGATACGATGACACCGCTGCGCTAGGTGCGTCATCCGCCAGTTGAACCGATATTGCGTTATAACGCAATTGAGTTAACGCAGTGGGTTAACGCACAAGTGTGCGCTTGAGTTAGTGTATCAGTGCAGGAAATTTTGCTGCGTTACCCATCTGTATAGCCTAGTACTGCTCATGTGCCAATTCATTTGTCCGTTTCTTTTCGAGTGTCAGACGCAAGCGTCAACCGCTGGCGGCTAAAGACGCTGTGGCACTACTCTACTCACAGTCGAGCGACAGCCGCAGGTTGTGAAACTAGTGCTTGTACAATGTCCAAAGTTTTATTTACTACAGAGGAAGGTGAAACATTGGTGGAATGGGTTGGAAAATAGCCTTGCCTCTTCATCTTTCAATAAATGTCTATTTATTAATGTTTGAAAAAAAGCTTTCGTTAGTTCTATTTTTAAATAAAGGATGAAACTGTGCATTGGCTTTGTACATGCTTAGCAGTAAAATTTTTCGTTCTTAATTTCTTCGCTTCCAATAGCAAATACAATAACAATTTCTATTTATTTTCGCACATTTTAACCTAGAAAATGCTACTATTTTGAAGATAGATCACTCGCGAGTAACGCTTCACAGGAAATGGGGTATTTTGGCGTCAGCCGCTTGTGTCAGGCGCTGTGCGGCAGCCGCGGGTGTCAGCCCACACACACCTTTATAGTCCAGGCTGTATCTCTCCCGCTAGGAACATGATTCTCATTCGATTTCTTTCATATTCTTACTAAAAAAATTACCCTTGAAACATATCCGCATGTTGCCAGACGTTACTAATGGTCAAAAATTGTTTAAACAATTTTTTTTAAAACAAATTCGTAATTTTCGAGTTTTTTGCTGGTCTTTTTGGGGTATCCTGAACAAAAATGTTCCTATGCAACTTTTCTCTAAAATCTACTGTTTTCGAAATATTAACGATTTTTTGTTCGAAAAAACGCAATTTTAACCATTTTCAACGTCAATAAACTATATTAAAAATTGCAATTTTTAGTGCTGCCAAAATTCTTAAATAATATTTGAACATCCCTTAACAAAAATCCGAAGAGTTACGCCGGCATATTTTATTCTGAAGACTTGTTTTTTATTGTTAATAAGGCGCGCGCCGCGTTTCTCGGCCGCTCTTGGCCGCCTCCATATACTGCGTCTCTCTCGTACTGA